GATGGATGGTTAATGAAAGTATTCCAAAACGCGACATTAATCTCTTGACTTTGACTTGGAATCGCTTTAGGATATTCCACAGTGTCTAAAGCAGCAACCTGTCAAAATTGTTTGAGATTGACTCAATGGGCTGGGAGTAATTAACTAACAGGTTTTACAAAATAAGAATAGGATTAAATTAAATTTTGACCCCTTAGGACATTCCCCATAGCTCATAGTGCTTACATAAGAATTTGGTTGAGATTGGCCCAATAGGCTAGGATGAGGCTTAAAATAAGGACAATTAATATTTTTGTAATAGAAATTGAATAAAAGATATGGAAATGAATCATGGAATATAACAGTAAATATAAATAATTTAAAGATGACTCATTTATTCTTCTACAAGCCTTACGAAAAGGCGTTTTAATTTGGCTTTAATTACTATTCATTTAATAACTTTTAAAATAGCTTTTTTTGCAATTAATTTCCTATTTAAGAGTCATCTTTGAATAGGCAAAACATCTGATGACTAGCAAATAAGATATTTTAGGGATTACTTCGAACCCAATATGTGGAGTAGACTAAACAGATATAAATTGTCAAACTCAATAACATGACGATTACTTCAAAATCAGGGAATTGATATAATGAGAAACATGGAATTTCAGGGCCATTTCACGAGTATGTTGCCTTGGGTTAGACTCAAAAAGCGTCTTCAGAGAATCAATATTGTTACGTATCTGCTCGTTTGATAATTTCCGGTATAAATTATTTCCGAGGAACTTCAGCGATACAAATCCTTTCTTAATTAAAATAGTTTATTCTTTCGCAATACAACTTTGTAATACATAGAATTTCCATAGTCACTTTAAAATTAATAACCTTTATAACAAACCCTATAAATCACAGTGATTCACACACTTTACTTACCGTGCCTACTGTTCGCTTGACTCAATTATTTCTACTTTCCATCTGTCTCCATATCCATCCATCGCTGGCTTTATTTGCCGGGCTTATTAACTAAAAAAGAGGGCGCCTGGCAAACACACGGACATTCGCGAGGTTCCTCCA